GAGGAGGAGAAGGGACCAAAAAGAAGATGGTGGAGTTGGGGAGGTCAGGAAGGACTTGGACATTGCTCTACCTCTGGACCAATTCTGCTGACCAGCTGGCTTTATGTATGCATTTCTCCTTCATAGAAATAACTTGTTAAGAAAAAAGCACTGATACATTTCTAAGTAGCCCTCAGACTCTGCAATCCTATTATTCCCAAGTGCAACAGCTGGGCTATTTCATTATCAGTAATATTCATAGTTTCTGCAGTTATCCACCAAATTGAGGTCATTCCTTCCCTGACTTCTTATGGGACTACAGAGAACTTTCTCACCCCCTCATCCTGGGGCAGCAGGGTTTGGCCTCCGGCCCATGGTTGGGGGAGGGAGCCAGCTGCTTCTGAGGAAGCACTGTTAGGGGACCAGGGTTACTCACTACACTGGCCCACACTGACCCTAGATGCATCCCTCCTTTTTTCTGGGCTCTGTCCCTGCACCTGACTCTCAAGTGCTTGACTTGAGAGAGAAGTGCATGTTTCACAGAGCTACCCTATCCTTTTCCTTAGCTCTGTCTCCTTCTTTCTCCCCCTTCCTTCCGTCAACAAATACTTAGTGAGCATGTACTGTGTGCCACTATATGCCAAGCACTGTTCTAAGCACAGGGGAGACAGCGATGACCAAGACATATCAGCACCCCTGCCCTCATGGAGCTGACATTCCAGTGGCAGAAACTGGTATGAAAAGCCATGGTTGCCCTGGCCAGTTTGGCTCAGCGGTTAGAGCGTTGGCCTGCGGTCCGGAGAGACCCGGGTTCGGTTCCCGCTAAGGGCGCGTACCTCGGTTGCAGTTTGTCCCCGGTCCTGGTTGGTCGTGTGGGTGGCAGCCACTCAATGTGTCCCTTCACGTCGATGTTTCTCTCTCTCTCTCTTCCTCTCTCTCCCTCCCGCTCTATCTGAACAAAAAATGGAAAAATGTCCTCGGGTGAGGATAAAAAAAAAAAAAAAAAAAAGACGACTCTTCGAGTTCCTTTCAAAGAGCCAGGTCTTCTCAGTCTATCACAGTTTATGTAAACTTATAAATAACTGTTCCTTACATAGACTGGTGCATTAAATGCGGTCACCTGTCAGTGGATAGCAGATGCACCACTTGGTAGCTGCCTGACCTCTGCAGACATCAGTCTCTGCTCTGTGAAGTGGCGATGGTCACACCAGGGTTGTGGGAGTATTCTGAGATCATGTATCGGCACAGTGCCTGATGCATGATAACATATGTTCTGTCCACCATCCCTACTTCCTTTCCTGCTTAGAGCAGACATGGGAGTCTAAGCTGTTCCCCTCACCCACCTTCTGGGCCCCACTGCAGCTGCAGAAGGACAAGAGGCTTCTGAGCTGACCCAAGGTCTCAAGGGCAATGGGTATGCCATTAAGAATAGACACCAGCAGAGGCTGGGGCCCTGCACGCCAACCCCCGCAACCCTCCAGCCCTGCCTTGGGTCTATTCAGCAGAAATTCGGGAAGAGGTGGCCACCCATCTGCAGGGCAGGCAGTTGTCCTTGTTGGACCATGAGTGTGGCTGAAGAGGCCTGCCTGGGACCTGTACTCTACCAGCACGGGTCAGCAATCCTGTGTGTGTCCTGGGCAGGCCCTTCTAGAGTCCCCCTCACCCAGCAGCAGCCGCAGCACCCGTGACTGGGCCTCCAGGGAACTGGGCCAGTCACCAAGCACTGGATTTTACATGCTTTATTTCATCCTGCCTTTCCCAGCAGTGCTGTCATGCCCCACTTTACCGTTGAGGAAACTGAGGCTAAGAGAGGTGAAGAATGTGCCTAAGTCACTCTCCTAATATGTGACTGAACCAGCATTTGAATTCAGACTGTCAGACTCCAGACCAAGGTCTTACACTGAGGTATATACCCTTTCTCCCGTTATCCACCTGCCTCCCAAATTCCACATCAAATGCAGAGGCAGACCGTCCCCTGGGGCCTCTGGGAGCACCAGGGACACATGGCACTTTGCTGAGCTTACCTGAGTGCTGGCTTAAGCAGTGTTAAAGAGAAGGGGATCATGCCCAAAAGCAATGCCACAGGGAGAACACGCCCAAGGAACTGGAAGTCTAAAATAGCGCAGTTGGAGGAAACTTAGACGACATCTCTCCACACCCTCCTTTTACAGAGGAGAAAATGGAGGCTTAGAAGAGGAAGTAAGGTCCCTGCATACTGAACTTCTGACCACCCTGCAGACTGCCCAGGACACTAGTGTGCCACTAGAAGCCCTGCACTAGTGCCCGGACCCGGGCATGGAAAATGGACCAAAACCCAGCCCCACCACTTACCTGCTGTAGGACTCTGCCATCAAGAGCCTCACTGAGCCTCCAGGTCCTCATCTGCGGGTTGTGGGTGTGTTAGAGATAATGTGTGTGAGATGCCAGCACAGCAGCTGGCACTCAGTGAACTGTAGCTATTATTATCACGCTTGTTGTCTTCCAAGTTCAACGAATGTTAGGCAATACTGTCTCTTAGGTGTCGCTTTGATTCTATGGTTCTGCTGGAATCATTCCTAGGACGAGAGTGGAAACAATGCTCACCATCATCTCTGAACATGGAAATCTACCTCGGACACTGAGGCTCAGCTCTGTGTCTATTTGGAATTAGACTCTGGAAGAAAGACTAGGCTGTAGCCAAGGTAGCTGCTGCTAGTTCCCATCTTTTCCAGTGTCTGTGGCTTGAGGTCCATCACTCAGCCTCTATGTCAAATTTCTGTGGTCAAATGAGCATGGTAATTACTTGTCCCCTTACCCCCACCCCCAGGTAATTATTGTGTCCATCTAAGGAAGGGTTGGCTGTCCCTTCCCGAAAGGCCACTGCTGCTGTGGGGTTTTCTGGTGGGGGTTGGGGGAGAATGGGGAAGGCTTCCCTTTGGGACAGAGCTACCAGGGAGTGGCATTTTGGTGCAGAGGGTAGCATCCTCACCACTGAGCCCTGGGGAATAAGGGGTGAGAGCTATAGAAATTCAAAATTCTGCCCAATTCCAGCTCCAACTTTCCTTCCTCTCCTCAAAGAGCCCTCCTTCTGGTGCTGTCAGAAAACCACCAGTCTGATTTCAGTTTGGCATGGTCCAGCTTCATCTTCCATGCCTAGGGCTGAGTTTGGAGCTTTTCACTAGGGGTTAATATGATGAGTTTGGTACCCACATCTTCTCACCTGGTTATCTCAAGACCAAAAGCAACTAGACATGCATAGACCAGGCTGGGATGAGGGGAGCAGCCCATGGCAACCTGGCTGTCCTGAAAGCTTGTGTGGAAGTGGGAACACCAGGAGGGAAGTTCCCTTACAAGTTCTTATTGTCTGGAGATGTGTAAGGCCAGATTCCTAAGGAGCAAGGTCTCCCTGGCCTCCTACAGAGGACATGACCACTGGGTCCGTTCCATGATTCCTGCATCTATTACTTGTGAAGTTTAGTCCCCAGTGCTGGAGAAACGGGGAAATAAGTGGTGACGATGGGGGTGCCTAGAGTAAGGCATGAGCTGTGACTCCAATGTTTGCCTGATTCTTAAGGCTGCTTCATTTCGGACCCTTTGTGGGTCTCCAGTAGCACCAGCAGGAAGCAAACTCCCTGGCATTCAAGGGCCTCCTGCGTCCAGACTTGTCCATCCTGGCCAACCTCAACTTCTACCAAGACCTTCCCAGCATCCTGGACCCCAGCAACGCCAAGGAGCTCTTTGCCTTGAACACACTGAGTACTTCCCTCCTCAAAACCTTTTCTCCAGCTACTCATGCAGCTAATACCCGCCCTGCCCTTCTCCTTCCCTGCCTCTTAAGAATTTATTCAAAGATTTATCCACCTTCTGTGAGAAGCCTTCCCTAACCTTGCAGTACATTGTATCTTCCTCTGTGATCCCCATTTGGTTTGTTTATTTAACATCTATTCATTTAGTGTCTGTTCCATGCCCTCTGGCCTGTGCTGCCCTCCTAGAACCAATTTAGCCCACCTTGTCTTCTGCCTGAGTGAAAGTACTTCATACAGGATTCTCAGTGCCGCCACAGCTGGGGCAGAATCTCAATGATTTCTGTGTCTGTCTCACCACTGTATTTTGTACTTTGTCCAAAGTGTCAGATGGAGAGATGGCTTCTAGACTGGGCTCTGCCCACTAACTAATTAGTCACATGGCCCTGGGCGAATCTTCCAGCCTCTCCGGCCGGCCTCCCTTCTTCCTGATGAAATGGTGGTGATGATACCTCAGGGTTGTCCAGGGGACAGTGAGGCAGGATGGAGGGAAGCATCATGAAAGCTGGGAGCCCCAGGTCAATGGAAGACGTGGGGTGGTTTAGTACCCCCATTCTCCTTTCACTGGCTGTGAAGCAGCGTCGCGTCCCCTTCGCTCTCTTCGAATGTCAAGTGCACCAGCTTCCAATCAGTCCCTCCTCGGGGCGGGCCCTCGGGCGGCTTGGAATCCTAGGCCGAGGAGGATTCCAGGGCAAACTTCGAGACTTTCCTGCCGCCCAGCCGCCCCTCCCCAAGGACTCGAGGAACACACCTTGAACCCCGTGCCAGAGCGCAGTTCAAGCGCAGCCCAGATCCGCAGCTCCGCGGCGCGGCCCGGGCCGGGGTCGCGCATCTCCAGCTGGTGACTCAGGGCTGCTCGGCCCGGGGGTGGGTGGAGGTAGGAGGGATCGACCAAGGCCGCGCGGAGGCAGCCGCCGGGCGCTCCGTCGCTGAGCGTTTTAGCTCTGGCCGGTCGCCATTCCGCCCCGGGCGTCTGCCTCGCCGGGCCTTGCTCTCGCGCCGCTTCGCACCCATTGCGCTTCTCTCGCGAAGCACTGCGCCCGGGACGGCCGGCGGGGGCTGGAGCGCGGGGCTGCCTCTGCGCGCGAATGAATGGGCGTCCGGGGAACGCGCGCGCGCGCGCGGGGCTGAAGGGCATTAGGACCGTGAGGATCGCTCCGCGCGCCTGTCTCTCCCTATTACCCCCCCAACCCCCACCGCTCTCCTTTTTCTGCTCTGCAGGACTGAGCAGCCCGGCGCGAGCGAAAACAAACAGCTGGGGCTGCGAGCGCCTCCTCCCCGGCCCCTAAAGCTCTCCGGCCCGGGCCCCCACTCGGGGCGCCCTCCCGCCCACCATGAGGAAGATCCGCGCCAATGCCATCGCCATCCTGACCGTAGCCTGGATCCTGGGCACTTTCTACTACTTATGGCAGGACAACCGTGCCCACGCAGCATCCTCAGGCGGCCGGGGCGCGCAGAGGGCCGGCGGGAGGCCGGAGCAGCTCCGCGAAGACCGCACCATCCCGCTCATTGTGAGTCCTCCCTGTGCGCTGGGGCAGCCGGCCGGGGAGCCGCGGCGCAAGTCCTAGCCCCGCGCTGCTGCAGAGGGCGCGGGGCCGGGCCGGGGGCTTCGTGCCCGCCGCACCCTGCTGGCTTTGTATATGTTGGAGCATTCCTGTACGTTGTTATGGCAACCTCCAACGGGCCAGCGAGGCCAGGGTGCACGGATGGAGGGAGAGTGACAGCGGGTGGGGGTTGGGAGAAAGTGCTGCAAGTTTGGTGGGCCCGGCGTGCGCGCACGACTGGGAACGTGGCGGCTCAGCACTGCGCCGCCGGGCCAGGGCTGGGGGTTGCCGGCGCCTCGCCCGCCTGGGAAGGCGGCCGGACCTTGCGCGCAGCCAGCCGGCAGTGGGAACCGCGTGCGACTGAGCGCCTAGGTGGCCATGCGCACCGCACCCCCTCTCCAACCTCTTGGGGGTCAAGGCTGTAGGGTAGAGTCGTTAGGTGAGGCAGGGTCGCTATGGGCTGCGCCCGGCTTTGCGTCCCCTTCTTAGCCCGGGTCAACTTGAACCTGCTTCTTTGGCACGGAGTAGTTCCCACTAACACCCCTGGGTTCTCTGGGTCGGGGAAAGGTCGCGTCCTGCACGCACCCCTCACCCCATCACAGCAGGTGAGCAGGCAGTGTCTGCGCCCGGGCTTGGAGATTCCCTTTCACGAAGTCAGCCTCGAGAGGTCAAGGCAAGCAGGGAAACAAAGGCGGCAGAGCACGGCTAGGGCCTCGGCGGAGCTGCGAGGGCCCTGGGCGCTCCGGAGACCTGGGCTGGGGCGTGCGGAGTCCCCGCCGCCCTGCAGGGGGCGTGCCTGCAGCCGCCTCCGCCAGGGCGCGGGGTGATGGCTCTATGGCAGGGGCACCTGTTGAGGCGGGAGGCTCTGGGACCCACGAAGAGGGAGATGCGCGCTCCAGCAGGCTTCGTTTTTCCGACCGGGGCGGGTGGTGGGCGAGAACCTTGGGCAACCCTGGGGACCAACACTGGGCGGACGCAGCCTGGCCAGAAGAGGACCGGGAGGAGGAAGAGCAAAGTGTGGGGCTGAGGGTGGGGAGTGGAACCGGGCAGCCATTCTGATGTGAAGAGGTGTGGACCTGGAGAGAAAAGGGTGAGGAGTTCCTGGGGAGGTGCAGGGTCAGGAGGGCCAAGGCTTGTGTGGAGAATTCGAGATGTTTGTGCAGAGGCAGCTGAGCCCAAGAATATGTTTGTGATGGGGGGGGGGGCAGTATGGAAGTGCCCTCATATTCCCATCCACGCTGGACAAAAGTAAAAATCCCCTGCAAAGGAACCATATTTCCTAGCTTTGCCTGAGAAGATCTTAGGGCTTGCTGGTTCTCCCCAGCCCCTCTCCCCCAATTCCCAGACTCCTGTCTGGTTGCACTCTCTGAGGGTGAGCCTGATTAGATGGAATGTCCCTTTCTGGACTGAGGGTCCCTGTCACTAGGACACTAGTTCCAAAGCACTTGTGGATGTTTGGACAGAAATGCTGATGAGGAAAAGCCTCCTGTGTAAAAGACCCCAGAGTGTTGGGATCTGGGTGGACTGACAGATTAGAGTGGAACTAGCCAAACCATGGTGGCCCCAGGTCCCCAGAGAGTTTCCACACCTTGGACTCATCCAAGCCGCCCCCTTCTTACATCCTGAGAGCGCCAGCCCAGGTCTCAGGGTAGGTGGGCCCAGAACAGCAGGGGACAAGCAGGCTGACCAGATGTTGTGTCCTCTGTGTGAGGTAATGGGAGGAGGGTCTGAGCTGGAAGAAGAGGAGGAGGGGAGAGAGGAGGCTAAATGGAAGTGAAGAGAGCACAGGGAAACTGCTGTTCAGACCCCAGGCTGGATCTCATCACATTTGCCTCTGCTTCAGAATACTGACCTTGCTCTTGGACCTCTCCCCAGCTCCTCCCAGGGGCCTTGGAAACCAGCCTAGAAGGCTACTCACACTGAGAGCCCCAGGATGGTGTGTGTGGGGGTTGGGGGGCACTGCTGGAGGTTTGCAGCAATCATTGAGGGGTGGAAATTGGAGGTCATGGGGGAGGTGGGTTGCAGTGAATATCCTTTCACTCTGTCCTGGTTCCCGTGGGGTTTTACTTACTGCAGGTTAGAAGAGGACTGTAAACTGGAAGCCAGGTTTAAAGTGTGAAGGAACCAGAGAGTAGAGGTACAGGAAGAGAGGGAGAGTGGAAGTTCCTGGGGAGTGAGTGGCAAAGAGCCTTTTTTGGCTACATAAGGACATAGCCAGCTCCCTCCCTGTTCTTAAGCTTTAGCCCTGCGTGTCTGTTCCATAGCTATGATCCCCAGGCACACACTGCCTTTGTCACAGCCTTGCCTTGTATCCTTGGTATTTCACTCAGTGGTATTCTCAGTCATCTGCCCTGTCTCCTCATGCAAGGACTATGCAGGAAGCTTCTTGCGTCCCCACATTAATGCACACAGCAAGACTTAAATACTGGCTGGATGAGCGAAGTAAGATTTCTGCCCATCTCTGGGAGCAGTGAGTGGTCCTAGCTTCACACCCCTTCACACCCCTCTCATATTTCATTCATTCCCAGCTCCAGCCTGACTAACCTAACTAAAGGGATAGGGGAATGCATATTCAGCCTTTCCAGGAGCTGAACCCTTCGTTCAACCCAAAACGGGCAGGTGCAGCTGAGGATTGGCTTTCTCCCTGAAATCCGTGGTTACCCTCTCACTGGTCTTTGCCATTCCCAAACATGGTTCTCGTTAGCTGGGCCAGGATGCTACAAGGGGATTTTTAGCTTCTCAGAGAATGATGTGGCCAGCTCTGCTGACAGAGGATGAGAAAATTCAGACAGGCGTCATCGTCATCACTCCCCTGGGGAATCAGAGAGCTGAGTTGGGAAAGGGAGGGTCTGCCTAGCAGCCTGGCCCAGGAGGCAGCTCTGCCTTCACAATGTCTGGGCTATCCCAAGCCGGCCAAGTTGCTTCTGGGCTTCAGAGGCACTTGTTTGGCATTGTTGGGTGTCAGCATGGCAGCCATGAGGCCCAGATTTCTCAGGAAGGTCCTGATTTAATATGATGTCCTGCTGTCAGCCCATGTGTCACCAATTTTGATGTGAAAAATCGGTCATGGACTCTGAAAAACAAAAGTGAGACTGCATCCCTCAGTGGCTTCTTATGCTGTGACAGGGTTTGTGATTTTTCCCATGCTGTACTTTATGGGCAAGGCAGTGGGTGCGGGGACATCCACTTGAACCCACGCTGGCGCTGGACAGCAGCGAAAGCAGGAGGCAGAACAGGCACAGCTGGTCTTCAGTCAGCCCGGAGGGACATTTGTGATGGGTTTAGGACCCAGGTTTTCCATATGCAAATTCTCTAACAGGTGTGGGTGGGATGCTAAGGTGTTACATGGAATTTCACTTTACAGACATATTTTAAAAAGACTATCTAGCTCTGGCCGGTTTGGCTTAGCGGTTAGAGCATTGACCTGAGGTCCAAAGAGACCTGGGTTCGGTTCCCGCTAAGGGCATATACCTCGGTTGCAGTTTGTCCCCGGCCCTGGTTGGTCGTGCGGGAGGCAGCCACTCGATGTGTCCCTTTCACGTCGATGTTTCTCTCTCTCTCTCTCTCCCTCCCACTCTACCTGAACAAAAAATGGAAAAATGTCCTCAAGTGAGGATAAAAAAAAGACTATTATGGATATTTTAAAGATAGGTGTACTCATTTGCAACATCTCCTATTTGAAACCAGGGAGGTTTTGGGCAAGAGTTTTTCTAAACTGGAGTTTCATATCCTACAGTTGGGATACTGCTGAATGACCATGGACAAAATATTTAACACCGCTGGACCTTGATTATTCTGTGTGTTAAGTTTGGGTGAAATGATTTCTGAGATTTGTTGATCTTAAATAAGCTTATTCAGTTCTAGAAGTGAATAAATAGCTTTAAGGGAGTTCTGCGGAAGGGTACTGTGAGGTTTGTGGCTTGTGGAGGGACACGCCCCTGTCGGAAAGGTCTTGCAGTAACCCTCAGAGCCTCCCACGGATGCCCCCTTACCTAGCTGAAAAGAACACAGGTGGTCCTGGCCGGTTTGGCGGACCAAAGAGTCTCGGATTCTATTCTGGTCAAGGGCACGTACATTGGTTGTGGTTTGGTCTCCGGCCCTGGCTGGGGTCATAAGGGAGGCAACCAATCGATGTGTCTTTCTCACATCTATGTCTCTCTCTCCCTTCCTCCCACTCTATCTGAAGATAAATGGGAAAAATATCCTCAGGTGAGGATTAAAAAAAAAAAGAAAAGAACACAGGTGCCCTAGCCAGTGTGGATCAACAACAAAAAGAACACGAACACAGGTGACGGCTGGATTAACAACAACAAAGACACAGGTGATGGCTTTCCGGTGCTGTTCTCTCAGAGCAGAAGCTTCAATCAGATCTGTCTGGGTTTATATTTTATTTATAATGTGTGCATTTTGGGACTGTGGCAATATGATTTGCTTAAATGACAGAAAATGATTCTATATTTAATTTATCAAGGTGCCACACACAGGAAGGAGAGTAGGGAGGGAGAAGCACAAACACCCACAATTACTTCTGCCACATGTTCAGATTGAAAGGGCCTGATTTTCCGTCACTGGGGTCCCCTCCTGGGTCATGTTGAGACCTGCTCGTGGGCCTTAGGGACAGCACAGAGGCACCAAGACTGATAAGGGCCCTGATAGCCTAAGCGTCACCGCCCCGGAAAGCCTGAAGCCCAAGAGCACGGGACTAGTAGGGTGCTGCTCGTTCTGGTCCCTTATTTCTGTGCCTCTGGCTGCTCCCAGGGCTTTGGGCCTGGCTTTCTCTGGTGGCAGTTTGCTGGCTCTGTGAGTGGAGCTCTGGAAGTGCCATTGAAGTCCTTGCGGAGGGGCACTGATAGGCACGGCTGGCCGAATTCCCTGGGGGACTGTCCTGTGTCATGGAGGAAACCGCCCTGGATTAGAGGTGAGCCTGGAGCCGAGCCGTTCACTGCAGTGAGCAGATTGAAGATTTA